TTGTAACGATGCATCAGTAATTATTTATTTCCATACACTCCATTTTCCAACACTCCAAATGAAAATGAAAAGATCATGTTATCAAAGTGCGCAGAAATGTCGAGTTTGGTGTCATCATTAATTGTCACTTGTTTCACTCTTTTGAGATTTGTTACTTTGATATTTCTATCAACAAGCAATTCAGTATTTAGAATATCAAAATCGGACATATTATACAAATCAAACATTTCTGAAAACTTTAACCTGCAATTAACAGTAGAGTCTGAATTACAAGGACAATGTGGATAGTCGAAATCACCTTCCATTGTTGTTGGGCTGTCATTAGTGTACATTTCTTTCTTCAATGTGCAGATGACATTTGTGTCAAGTTGTATACCATTTGGACAGAATCGAATCATTTTTTTATTTGATATCAAATACCCCTTCCCATCTGTGAAGTTGTATGAATACTCAAACATCAAAGATGAAATGTGATCAGTTGTTGTTATATAAACATCCAAATTATTTTGATTGTTGAGGGAAAACACATCAAAACATTTTGTGTTTCCATTTGGATTTAATATTTGAAAATCAGGTCTTCCAGTAATGTTTTTGTTGAGGTGAATATAAGTCGAGTTCCACAATATAATTCTTGGCTTGTTCAGTTCCGGATTTGTAATATTGAGATTTCCCGCTTCAGAAAATAAACCAAATATTGTTTTATTGTTAATAACATTGATGACAGCACCACTCTCAATATTTAAAGTATTATTAAAGTGTAAAGGACATGAAATGATTAAACTGACGTTTTCAAAGAGTGTAGATTTATGAATATTTTGCCAATATTTATCGCCATTGTTTGTAAATTCCATGTTTTGAAGAATGTTAACATTTTCAAAGTTTAATATACGGGTAGAAAAATTGAAATAGTTGTTAAAACAGTACGAGCGGGTGTTTGAAAAAAATGTACATTTTGAAGGGCTGAATCCGTTATTAATGCTCGAGTTAATTTGTGTGCAGTCGCATTGATATCCACTCGTCAAAACAAGTAACACGAATATAATAAAGACCATTACTTTATAATTTATTATATAACTTAGTTTGTTGAAAAACATTATGGAACATCATTTATTTTTTTTATTTGTTATAATTTAATAATAAAAAGTAAACATGTTTTTAAAAAACATGTTTTGAAATAGAAATAATTAGAATTTTAACT